GCGGCCCTGTCCCGCCCCTCCTGCCTCCCCCCCCGCCATGGGAAGTGGCGATGGGGAGGGGCTCTGAGAGCACAGAGCTCTGCCAGCAGGGCACACAGCAGATGCCTTCCTCTGCGTGGCTGAAAATGTGACTCAGATCTCTGGGAACTGGAACAGGAACATTCCCAGAGAGGCACAACCAGGGGGCTGCAGAAAGTGCCACCCCACCCTGTATTTTTGTGATGGCAGCTGTGTAGATATAGAATGTTCTGAAGAAAGCTACAAAAGATACCAAAAGGTGGCCTTGAGGGCAGCAGCGAAAGAGGAGAGACAGGTTCAGATTCAGTATGAAAACCCAAGGCAGATGAGCGCCTGGGGAGTTTGCATATTGGCACTGCTTCCCTAGGGCTGCTGGGGTGGTGCACCCAGAGGGGTTGCAAGGCCTGAATGAACGGTGAGGGAGTTGGATTCTCACCCTGGCCCCGCCACTCCCCTGGGGGCATTTATCCCTGGCCTTCATTTTCCCCACCTAGACAATAATGGGAAACTCTGGTGGCGCAGTGGTTAAGCGCTGCCGCTGCTAACCAAAAGGCTGGCAGTTCGAATCCACCAGGCGCTCCTTGGAAACCCTATGGGGCAGTTCTACTCTGTCCTATAGGGTTGCTATGAGTTGGAATCTACTCGAGGGCAAGGGGTTTGGGTTTTCTCGGTAGACAATAGGGGTGTTGGGGGAGGGGTGTTTGGCCCCTCGGATGTCTCCCCATCTCTGCCTTTCGGTGAGGTCGGTTTTAGGTGGGTGTGTGGAGCAGACTCCCAGCTTGCACTCAGCCACAAAGTTAGGGGCAGATGCAGAAGCCCTAGCTCATAAGATGGGGTGGTTTTGAGCATCTTAGGGGCACTCAGCCAGCCCCTCCCAGCCTGGGTAGGGAGGAAGGGGAGAGGGTGCCCCAAAGCACTCAACATCTGCACAGCTGTAGGTCTCTAACTGAGAGCACTTCCCTTCATCCCAGGCCAGGTGTCCTAAAGATTGCCTAATACTCAGTGTGATGTTAGACTCTTTACTCCATTGTCCTGCCCTGCCACCCCCTACAGACACATTCTCTCCTGAAGTGGCCTTTCCATCTTTGGGCATGTAAATATATTCTGTGAAACTAGATTTCTTCATCTTCCCTGATTCCCCCCTTTCAAACACATTCCCACTTGGTGATATCTGTGTCGATCAGGACTCTGGTTGCAAGGAACAGAAACCAGCTTGAGTGAGCTCAAGCACAAAAGGAAGGGAGTTTGCTGGGAGGACCCTGGGCGTCTCCCAGAACCAGGTCATGGGTGCAACCAGGCTGTGGAAGGAAGGGCGGCCTTGCTTGGCGCGCTGGAGAGAAGGCAGGACGTTCCTTCTTCCTTCCTTGGCTCCTTGCTGGTCTAGGTCTCCGCCGCGCAAGCCTTATGGACAGCTGGCTGTCCCACAGCTCCTGAGATCTGCTCAGACCAGCCCAAGGTCTAGTCTCTTACCGAGTTGGCTCAAGGGTTGACTGGCCAAGCCTGGGTCAGGTTTCCACCCTCGCCCAGGCAGCTGTGGCCAAGGGGGCATGATCATGCTTTATGAACATGGCTGCCTCAGCCCCACCGCGTGAGTGGAGGGTCCTTCCCTCAGAGAGGCGGGTAGGGGAGAGCATGGCTCATGGGTAGAACCGACTCTTCAAAAGGTGGTGCTCCAAACTGCACCTGTCCTTTGGTGTGGCGTGAAAAGCAGGACTCTTACACACACCATGGACCAGGCTCCTCACACTCCTCCCAGTCAGTCCACCAACCCCTTTCAGGTGCTGTAATGATTCACACATGAAGAAATGGAAACTTAGTGCCTTCGCCCATGCTCCCACCTAACGAGCGGAGAGCTGACATCCAAGCCCATGCTCTCTCCACAGTTGTTTTTGCTCACACCAGGAAGGATCATACAGACTCTTGGTGGCTCCATCCCCACTGATGACTTGTTGAGCCTTTAACAAAACCCCTGATCAGTGGTGGCTCAGTGGTAGAATTCTCACCTTCCATTTGGGAGACTGGGGTTTGATTCCTGGCCAGGGCACCGCATGCACAGCCATCCGTCACCTGTCTGTCAGTAGAGGCTTGCATGTTGCTGTGATGCTGAATGAATTTCAGGGGAGCTTCCAGACTAAGACGGACTAGGAAGAAAGGCCTGGCGATCTACTTCCAAAAAACCAGCCAATGAAAACCGTATGGATCATGACGATCTGATCCCATTGTACATGGAGTTACCATGAGTCGGGGGCTGACTCGATGGCAGCTAATAACAACCCTTCGTTGCTAAGCCACATGTTCCCCCGCCCCCCTCTTGGATGTGTGTAACATGTTAGATGCAAATGCAGGCCCTTATGGTTCGTCCCAGTTCATCTGTTGGCCCCTAGGGCCAGCCTGTCGTGATTCTTGTGGAGGCAGATTTTTATCACAGAATAGCTTTTGTTCTCCCTCTTCATCTCCCGTCACAGGAAGGATTGATGTGCAGCCTTTGTATCTTTCGAGGCTGCTGGCCTCGCTCTGCCAAGGAGAGGGCTGAGGACCAGCCCTGTCTCCCCTGGTGGATCTGCTCCAACCAGTGCCCTGTTCCTCACTAGTTGTCTTGGAATCCAGCCCACGTGGGCCTCCATCTTATCCTGGTGGAGACAGGAGATCCCTTTGCTGGAACCTGAGGAGGAAGTTCAGTTTTGTTCATAGACATTTTCTGGCCCAGAGCAGCCAGATGCTTCTTGTCTCTGGGCACCTGGAAGGATGGACTGACCTGCTGAACCTTGGTGTGGGTGGAGACGGGGCAAGGGAAGAAGGTGGTGGTGGTCATACATGGCTTCTCAGAGGGGACATCTGCACAGGACACCTGCACAGGATTTCAAAGGGTGCGTGGAGCTCGCTAGGCAGACAAGTGGGGGTGCTATGGGGGAAAGAGAGCAGATTGGATGGGGGGGTTATGTATGGGATTTATACACTTAGATATTTCACACATCTCTGTCTCCATCACAATTTGCATGGTCACAAAAGAAACCAACTTGGGCTGGTTTTGGCTACACAAAAAAGCGAGTATGTTGGAAGGGCAGGACCAGGGTGGCTCCAGGGACCTTAATAAGTAGGCTCGTGGGCCTTTCTGTAACCCACTGCCATTTACACAGCTTGGTTCTAAACTCCCAGTGTTTGCTTCAGTTCCACGTTTGAGAACGAGAGACTGACTCTGAACAGCGTGGCCTTTGCTGCTTGTCCCTCTCTGATCCAGAGGGCCATGACCAGGGGTCACTATGCAGAGAAAGGGCAGATGGGAGTGGATGGGGCATCACCTTACAGGGAGTCCTGCAGTGCGCACATGCGGAGCCAGGGCTTGCTCTGGGTTCCAGATCATTTAGCAACTCAACTCGTTTTGGAGTCGGTGGGCAGGCTCGACTTGGATTTGCCTTTGGCCAGGCAGGGCTCCGGGAGAGGCCTCATGACACAGTCATTCAACCCAGTGATGGGGGTGCTGGGATGGCCAGTGACGCTGCCCGTCTAACGCCAGCCACGCTTGCCTTCTCTCCCCAGAACCGGCCTTCCGTGATCACGTGCGCCTCTGCCAGCAACCGCAACTGCAACCTCTCCCACTGCCCCATCGCGCACAGTGGCTGCGTGGCCTCCCTGCCCACCAACTACAGGAGGCCCCTGAGCAGTAAGTGCCTTCGTGGGCAGGCAGGGAGAGGTGGCTCGCCATGCTTCCCTGGTGGCTGTAATGGGAAGTGGATCTCGGAATCCTTTCCACACCACGCTGCAGATTTGATTAACTAGCCCTGGAGCTTATTCATCATTGAGGTTGAAGAGAGTCTTGTTTTTTTGTTTTTGTTTTTTAAGCACATATGTGCCCAACATTGTGCATGGTGGGACAGGGTAAGCAGCAGATTGTCCTCAGTCTCATACTCTAGTTGGAGGGAAAATAGTACTTTTTTTTTTTTTAAACTGTTTAACGCAGAATTCTCTTGAGTTCTTACCTCAGCCCAGTGTGGTAGGTGTGTCCCCACTTTGCATCAGTGAAGTCCCTTTGCCTGAGTGCCCCACCAAGGTGGCGAGGAGGCCGTCCCCATCCACAAAGCCCACTCTGCCCATCACCCATCTGGTTCCTGCCCACCAAGACCGTACCGTCTCGTTGCTGAAGGTTGCCCACTGGCTGAGGTGGTGGCCCTGTGGGCTTCTCCGTGGGAGGGGCTGATGGTGAGCCCGACGCCATTGGTCCTGCTCAGGCCCTGACCACTCTCTCCTGCTCTCCCTCCAGCGACCACCACCTGTGACCCCGTGGTGGAGGAGCATTTCCGCAGGAGCCTGGGCAAGAACTACAAGGAACCCGAGCCAGCCCCCAACTCGGTGTCCATCACAGGCTCTGTGGATGACCACTTTGCCAAAGCCCTTGGTGACACGTGGCTTCAGATCAAAGCGGCCAAGGATGGTGCCTCCAGCAGCCCGGAGTCAGCCTCGCGGAGGGGCCAGCCTGCCAGCCCCTCCGCCCACATGGTCAACCACAGCCACTCCCCCTCCGTGGTCTCATGAGCAGGACGTGCCCTTGAACACGACGCGGATCTGCATGGTTTGCCTGAGCTTTGAACAGTCGTGCTTCAAACAACGGAAAATGTCATGGGGGGGTGGGGGGTGGGGTGGGCGGGGGTGGGATGGTTTATTCGCAAAAACCATGTCGTCGGGGTTTTCGTTCTGCTCTGTTTTTGTACTTGCTTGGTCTTTGTACAAGGGTGCCCTCACACACGACAGCAGGAACGGCGTGCGGAACATCTGTCTGATGTAGCGTCCTTACTTCCTGCCTCAGTTACCAAAGAAACCTCTGATGCAGGTCTTCCAGCCCTGGCAGGGGCCGACTCCACACGCGCGCTTTCTCAGTCACTGCCGTGACGACCGCTGGTGACCCGATGCTCTGTGCTTGTTAACTTGCTTCTCGAGACTGGGGTGCTGTGTAGCTTCCATCGAGTTTTCTGTCCAGTGCGCGTGCGTGCGCGTGTGTATACTTGAAGAGAACCGTCGTGTCTGATTTGCACTATTGGAGGAGGTTAAAGTTGCGTGCCTGACAACTTTACCTGAGATGCTAGTACTCGGAGGGCAAACTGCTGAAAACAAAGGGTTCAAGGATGACGTTTCTGACCATTTGTGTGTTTCTGTTTGTTTTTTAATTTAGACAAAACAGCTTTGGAAGGGGAAGTCTCATACAGGTTATAGGTCTTTCTCTCTAGATTTCAGGTGCTTGCAACTGGACTGCAGACTCTACCAATCACGGGCATTTTTACCTTTCCTAAACACTGCAGTTTGTTAGGCTAGCGCTGAGGTGGGAGGATTCCATAGTGCTTTCAACATTGATTGCATGTTTTAATGGAGAAAAATAGCTGGTTTCTATTAATGTATAGACAGTAAACAAACAAACAAAAAAAACTTAATCCTTAATAGCTTCTTTCCAGAACTAGTTTATTTTTGTCAGTTACAGTCCTAGGTATACTTACTGCTGGTACAGTTGTACTCTAAGATTTGTATTTGATATTCACTTTACTCACAAGTTGTGCCGGGGACAGCCGGCTGCTGGCGGGCCCTGGAGGTGAGTCGTTCAGTGGTTGGTCAGCCGACGCGGAGGACGCTGGAGTTTTGGCTGCGGGCTGACGTTGTCATTTATTTTTGGGTCCCTGTCTGCTTGTTACAAAGCTCCCAGGGGGGTTGGGGTTTGTGTCTTCCAGCTCTCCCAGGTGCAGAAACTGTTCCCTCTGCGCACTCTCTTGGCTGACCAGCAGATTGCTGACAATCTGTGATATGGTATTTTGTACCCTTCCTTGTAAGCTGGGGCCAAGGCAGTATACATTCCTGACTTATACAGTTATTCCTGCATTTATTATCATTTGCTACGTTAATAGCTACTAACTAGAAGTTAGGTGAAGAAGAAAACACGACAGACACAGCTGTGGATGTCCCAGCTTCTCGTCTTTCTGTTCAGTGAACACTTGTTCCCCTGCCTCTCCAGACTCCACATTCCTGCCTCGCCCACTAGGGGGCTTACGTATGTCACCTGTCCAGGGCCAGGCGGCACGACCACCTGTGACGCTTGATGGACATAGTGGCCCCTGAGGCTGGTTTTCAGCATGCGGGGAAATTGTTTTCATTTTGAAAATTGGCCCCGGGTGGAAGGACTGGAGGACCGGCCCTCGGTGCAGTTGGAGGGGCAGCTGCGGGTCTTCTCACAAAGCAACATAAAGCCCCTCTCTTCTTGCCCTGCACACATTTCACTCCCATTTTACTGGGCTTCCAAGCTTTGGCATCCAGGCCCCTAGTTTCTGTAGGAGAAAATTGTTGAGAACACTTTTTTTTATTTAGGTGACTTCAAGACCATCATTACGCTGTGCGTAAAGAATGTACAGAGAAATTTGTAGGTATTTTTTGAAGAACAATTAATTTGTTAATGATATGTAGCTATTTAATTTTTCCCTTTCCTGTTGTAATCATTCTTTTTTTTTTTTTTTGTTCGTTTGGAAAAAAAAAAAGTTGATCTTTTTTTGTCGTAGATTTGTCTGTAAAAGTGCAGGCACACAGTTATTCTATGAGAACACTGCATCTGCATTAATAGCCACTAGTTTGTTATTGCTACAGGCTACTGAGCGTCGTCACAGGAAAACACCACCACTGCCGACGGGCTCTGCGGAGCGGCTGGGCACCTCTGTCTGCACGCAGAGGGTCACTCTGCGGGGAGGACGGGGCTTGGGGCGCCGACCTATCTGGGATAGGCAGCGCCCTGGAGGGGAGCAGAAAACCCAACCTTTCGGGGGAAGAAACCCATTCACCACCCAAGAGCGAGCGCAGTGCCGCGCGGAGGCCACCATCTGCAGTGTGTCCGGCCGTTCTCTCCGCGTTTGTAAATCTGTAATATACATTCTCTGTGGCCTGTTTTTCCTGGAAGAAGAAAAAAAAAGGTTTGGCAGGCCATCTTTTTTTTGTACTTAAAAGTAGCCTTAAGAACAATAATAAAGTGCTCTTAAACCACACCCTTGTGTGTGTCTTTTAGTCACGAGGGGGGGTCTGCAGGGAGCCCCAGGGGCCATCGCCTTTGGGGAGGGGGGGCTCAGTGGCTCAGCACCCAAGGTGGCGCCCCTCCTGACGCTCCCATAGCTGAAGAACTGTCACTTTGACTTTGACTTTCTATTTATTTTCAGAGCAGCATCATTTTAAATCTAACTGGCAGAAATCCTATTTAAGAGTCAGCCCGACTCGATTTTGACTTTGGTTCTAGGCCTGTAACAAAATGATGAAGCTGTAAGTAAGTATAAGACAGTGCTGACTCCTGCGCTGTCCCAAAGACAGGACGCCTTCTCCTCGTGCAGGGTGTCCGCCGAGCGTGCCCTCTCCTGGGCTTCCACACCCCCTCACCGCTGGTGGATGCCCAGCTACAAGGCAGACATACAGTTATACACAGTGCAGACCCCAGGCCCACCTCTGTGGAGGGACCCTCGGTGAGGGAGCAAGGCAGCCCACCTTCCACAGTGGAAAGGAGAGCTCTGGTGTGGAGTCGCGGGCCTTCTGTGGGACTTGAGTGCCCATGGGGACAGGGAGGGGAACCTCAGACAGCTGCCAGGATCATCCCAGAGAACTGCTCCTGGGCTCCTCCACCAGCACAAGGCAGAAGCAGAAACTGCCCTCCCTCTCCTGGCAGGGAGGTCTGGGTGGCCCACAGTTGAGGGCAGTGGGGTTGGGAAGAGCTGGCCGGGTGAACACTGTCCTTGATGGAGATGTGGGCTCTGTGGGAGGAGCATGGGCCCTTCTGTGCACCGCTCAGCTCTCTGCCTCTCCCCCAGGGACAGGCTGACAGAAAGGGCTCACGGGAACCCTCCCCTCACCAGCCCAGTGCCCCAGAGGTGAGGGGTGAGGCACAGCATGGGCAGAGAGCCCTCCAGTGGGCCCGCAGTGCATCCGAGCGCATGGCACTGCCTCCCCCATTGCCCCAGGAAGGAGCTGCTTTCTCGGGGCTCCTCTGGTCTGTGTTGGGCCAGCTCCTCCATGTCCCAACCCACTCCTCGGGGCCACGACGGGAGGACCCCCAGGAGCTTGATATCAAACACTTGTCACAACCGAGAAAAAAAGACGTGCTCATGGAGGGGGATCAATTCCCAGAGCAATGGCAATGCCAACACGGAGGTTATTATTTAGCTCAGAAGTGGTGGGATGGAGAGTCATGAGAAACGAGGACACGGAAGCTCCTGGACAGCTGAGGGTGGGCCAGTCCTCAGGGCAGAGAGGAGGGGGCAGGCGGCGGGCCCAGGGCCCAGAATCACCGGGCCCAGGGTCTGGGTCTCCTGCTCTGTGCGGAGGAGTCGGCAGACGCGCAGCGGCCTGGCCGTTCAGACAGTCTCGTCGTCACTCATGTCCCAGATCTGCATGGAGAAGGGGAGGCGGTGAGAGAGTGGTTCAGGTGCCCGGGGCACTGCTGACACTGGGATGAAAACTCTGCAGTTAAGAGGAGTGATGACTCCCATTTGAGAATGACCCGCTGTATGCCGTCCACACTGGTTTCACCCGCCCTCACGCTTTCTGGTGACTAGGGGATGGACCTCCACCCCCCAATTCTTATAAAATGAAACCAGACCTCAGAGAGGTTCAGTCATGGCCCACGGCCTCCCCTGTAAGTGAGCCCATCAGTGGGGGAGCTGGGGTTGGAGCCTCACTGCCGCCTCAGAGAGGCTGGCCCTAGCTCACCAGCCCCTGCTTACCATTGTTTTTCTAGCTCTTGGTGAAGGCAGGGACTGGTGGTGCCCGTGGGCGGGTCCTTGCTGAGTGGCAGCCCCAGCCTGCCGCCCCACACACTTCCCACCACAGGACGCTCCTGACCTCCCGGCAGCTGTCCACCGTCCACTCTCATGTTGCCAACCCTACTAAAGACGCCACTCCTGGGCGCGCACTAAAGAGTGGCCTTCCCCGAAGAGTAAGCCTCTCCCCACTGCCCAGAGGTGCCTGGGGCAGCCCGTTCCTGCCTCTGTCCCTCACTGTGTGTCCCTGGGGAGACCCTGACTCTGGGGATGTGAGTATGGGGGGACCAGGCCACCCCTGCTTGCTGTGAAGAGGGAAGGAGAGAATGTGGGACAGCTCCCCAGCACCCCCCCTCCCTTTCTCCCCCCAGTCCTCCATAGCCTCAGCCTTTTGCCCACCACCATCAGCATGAAATCTGCCAGGGAGGGGTCCTGAGGCCAGCACGGCTGGTCCTTGGAGAGGCGGCCCCTGAACATACGCCTTCAGATTTTCAAAACTCCTAGAATTGGTTGCAACAGGCCACCTAGACACTAGCAGCACTGAGAGAAGGAACAGCGTGTTTACACGAGGCTGGCGGGGAGGTGTGGTGGCCCGGCCAAGGTAAATATCAACACCAGCTTGGCTTTCAAAGTCAAGGACATGGAAAATAAATACAGATAGAAGGAAATTTCCTCTCTCCTCGGACCGAGCTGCCTGGGCCTCGGGGGAGGGGTGGTGGTGCCCCTCCTCACACCACTCCCCCATTTCCACACAGACCTATATCCGAGGGAATTAGGATAGGATCACAAACAAACATCCAGATGCCCCGGGAGCAGTGACTGGTGTGCAAGAGC